ACCGGAGATTGATAGAGGTTTGACCGGGGATGAGATGTTAATCCCCATACCCGCCGGAACGGGGGCCGAGAGATGTTACTACAAACCGGGGCCGGGAATTACAAAACCCACCCCGTCCTCGCCCCGTTGCCATGCCTACTAGAACCCTTTTCCTCTGTTAATCTTAGCCTTTGAGTGAACTAAAAAAATGCCCCCTCACATTACTATTTTTAGAGGTGGCATCCGTGCAAGGCCAATTGGTTTGCTGTAATCAACTTTTCCTTACAAATAATACTTATTTAGGGAACTACCATTTTGACTTGATTTGTTTAATAATTGCATAATAACGTGACATGTTTTGAGTTATTCTTATATTAAGAAAATACATTATTCTATTAACAAATGTATTTTTTTAATACTAGAAGAGTATTCGCACAATGCAGCGAGATACATCTTGATTTCAATGTTTCGTTTTATTCTGTCTCTGTTGATGTTATAATTCGGTTTTATATGGTGTTGAGAAAACGATAATGTTTTTATTTTTAAATAAAATATAAATTTGAATATATCATAAAATTTTGAAAAAAAATATATCCACATTAGTATCAAATTAACTATTTAAAAGTTTTTTTTATTTCTTTGATTCATTTTTTTATTATAATTTAATTTAGATTTAATAACGAAGTAATTTATTTTTGATTTAATAATATAATTTTTTATAAGGATAATAATTAAATATTCTGTTAGAACTCAATGATTATCTTAATTATATTTTAAATTTTTTATATTTAAAATGAAATGTTTATCTCGTATTTGATTATGTTTATCTTTAGTTAGTCATATGACATGGAACTTTAATAAATGTACTTACATACAATTTATTTGTAGTCTTGAAAATAAGTAATATGTATCAATAAACAGTACTTCATGTATAAAAAATGATTTTTAATTTTTTTTGTTAAATGCTTTATAACATAGTATAAATATCATAAGATCAAGTATTTAAATAAAATATCATAAAGTTGTTCTACTTAATAACCCTATACAAATTTACGAAAACCACATTTAAATGAAGGGAAAAAGTTCAAGAAAATTCAACGAATTTTCCAAATTTGGTTGATTAAGTCTTTAAACTCATTTTTTGAGTGAATAAACCATTAAACTTTATCATTTTAGATGATCAAGTCCCTTAATATTTTTACTAATAAATAAACAATCGACCTTTTAAAATTTGGTTATATATATCTTAACAAAAAAACCAACAGTAACTGACTAGAAAGTTTTAAAGTACAGAAAAACCTAAATCACTGTTGTTGGAACCCTACTCAACGTCATCACTCCCCCTCGTCGCCCACACTCTATCACTGTTGTTGGAACCCTGCCATCAATATCTCTCTTTTTTATCAGTTTTTTTTTGTGTTTTTCGATTTTCTTATTTTTTATCTGTCCATACATAATACTCCATTAAAATGTTGTAAAAAGGGAGAATCGAAAGAGAAAAAACAGATAAAAAAGAGGAAGATCAGTGATATGAGCTAATAGTGGCAATGGTAGGTATATAGAATGGACGACGATGAAACGACGAAGGGAAGCGATGCCATTGAGTACGAACGGATTGAATGACGTACAGCTTGAAAACAGTAAAACATATTTTAATTATTTTATTCCTTTATAATCTTTTGAACGCCATTTGTTGACGTTCTATGGAAATTTGCACCACGTGATAAACATTCGACGTGGAATCATTAAAACCCTCACCAACGGACAAAATTGACTAATTAATAAAACCAATTAAATATTTTTAATAATATTAAAATTAAATAAATAGAGATTATGGATATTTTAGCAACTAAAATGCACGAGAAAATAAAGAAACGAAAGTTAAATAATATTTTAATTTTTTAAAACTATATAAGAATAAAATT